TTCATTGATGACTCACAATTATATATATAAACTAAGTTGCTGCTTTGTGAGTCTTGGCACCAAATTCGAGGAATGCATATGCCTTAAAAGCTATGTAGTTGCGATTGCACCTGTATTTTAGATAGCATGTCACATAGTACTAGTAATAACACCAATGTTACTACTCATATAATTAAACAAAAAACTTATCGAAAATCTTCTTATTCAGATGATGATCTGAAAAATGCTGTCACTGCAGTAGAAAACGGTAGTTTAAACTCGATCACTGCATCAAAGGAATTAATGTTCCTAGTAGCACAATTCGAAAACATGTGAATTATAAATCAACTAAAATTGGTGCTGGGCGTAATCACTACTTAAATGACAATGAGGAACAATATATTGTGCATCTTTTGCGAACATTGAATGAATATGGCGAATCAGTTAACAGAAATGTGCTATACAAAATAACTGGGGAATATATGAAGTTGTTGGGAAAAACGACATCGAAAAGGAAACAAAATGAGATTGATAAATACGAACCAAGTCGAACTTGTGAGTAATCAGTTATTACGCGATCAGTTATTTGACATGAACCAGAGGTGCAACCGGTACCGGTATCAACTGTAACGCCGACCAGTATACCGATATTAGTATAAAGTATAATCAGTATGATACAATTTTTCGAAAAACATCGTGTAAATTCAGTTCATTTAGGACATATTTCTTCCACTAAAATTTCACTCCAATTACTTAAGCTTTGTCGGCTTATATAAACTTCTTAATTTAAAACATTTAATTGGATCGCTGTTTTCGTTAACAAAAGCGTGTGAAAAATTCTCTGTACGTAATCAATGAAAAGATTAATCTATCCTTTTGATAAAGAAGCAATTAATTAAAAGAAGAGTAATCGGCTTTTTTCTCTGAATATTAGCATATGTATTAAACATGATCATAATTTTATTTAAAAATAAAATGAACACTGATAAGTTGTCATCTACAGATATTGAAGCAAAACTAAAATTTTCTAAGCCGATACTGAGCGATAAACCGGTCATCGGCATGCCGGACGATCCGGTACCGGTATGAAGCTTGTGTACTGGTGAGCAGCACCGGTATCGTATTTTTCATGCCGGTTACACCCCTAACCTGAACTACTTGACGGATTGCTCCTTCGTGCTTTTTTCCCTAATCTCTATGTATTGTTGTATTTAGCAAGATGTATGTATGTATTTTGTGAATATTCTAGGGATAACCAGTTTTATGGAACGCTATGCAAGAGAAATTAAATGGCAAAAAGAAAAGAAAATGGAAACAAATCGGGCCGATTCTTTTACCGAAGAAGTTCGCCAGAAATGGTTTAAGAATTTGAAAGAAATAATGATACAATTAAATATCATGAACAAGCCAGAGCAAATCTGGAACGTTGACGAATCAGGATTCTTGGATGAAACCAAAGAAGATTTGATCGTGGTTAAAAAAGAAGAAAGAGAAACGTTTACGAAAACAGCCGGATCTGGAAAATCGTTCACAACAACGTTATTATATATTAATGCTGCCGGTACAATACTTCCACCGCACATTATCTTCAAAGGCAAAAATTTGTATAACAGTTGGTGCAGCCACGGCCCTGATGGTGCCCAATATGGTGCTACAGATAGTGGTTGGATTGATACGATTACATTTGTATGGTGGTTTGAGCACGTATTTATCAAATGTACAACAGCTGTTGATAAACCTATATTGTTGATAATGGATAATCATAGTTCACATGTAAGTGTTTGTACAATTGAATTAGCGATGGCAAACCAGATAACGTTGCTACTGTTACCACCTCATTGTACTCACGGTTTGCAACCATTAGACGTAAGTGCGCTGGGAATTGTGAAAAAAGAGTGGTACAAAATCGTCAAACCATATCTTGACAGAACACATCGAACAACGATCAGCAAAAGTCATTTTTCTGCATGATGAAACAGTTGTTTCAAATATCATTTACTAAACGTCAAATAGTGTCTACATTTGCTCATGCTGGCGTTTGGCCGTTTGATGATACTGCAATGGCTCATAAAATCGTTAAAAAATCAAGTAATTATACTAATAAGTAGATTGTATTCGAATTATTGTTGATGAAATAAACAGTAGATCCAGCACTGTCTCAGTAGCTTTAGATAAAGAGCAGCTACAGAACTGCACTTTCGTCATTGGAAAGAGAAAACTCGGAAATCTTTCCAGAAAAAATGAATTTGAAAAAGACTTTGAAATACGTTTAGTCTCATCGCAATGCCTATTTACAAAACTAATTCTAAAAACTTAGTAAAAACCTCAAACGAAAAATTCATAACCTGCTAAAAGTCGCATCAGAATGCTTGACTCCTACAAAATATACTTCTTTTCTAGTACCACCATATAACAGCGCAATACCATCGTCGACACCGTTAATAAATAATGTTTCAACGTTCTCAACTGATAATATTCAATCAGCAGCAAGTCTCACACAGTAATAATAATCAGTTTTCTCGCAAAAGAGAAATATTAATTTTGAATTGACCATCTCTACTTTGTTCTTTTTCTATAGTAGTTCATTGGCAAATCATCTCATTCCAACGACAATAGCTAATTTGTTGTCGAGAAACACACTTTCCTCATTATCCTTTACAAATGTTGCTTCAAGGTATTGGATAGAAATAAAAGGATACAGAACTGTTATCTAATTGCTTTATTTCTATTATATAACTTGTGAGTTTCTTTAGTGTACCTTTACAGTATACGAATAATCTTAGCCCTGTGACAACGTCGGACATTGGGAACACAACACCATTACAATGCTCCACATCTTCTCTCAAGTAAATGTGCAGAGTTAGAATGCGATTTGAAGTTTTACTATTGCTTTAGAATTTAATAGTTTACTCAATCAATCACTAAATCCACCATCACCATCTTCGTCAGTGCAAAATTCGATGCTGGCTGCGAGAAGTTCGAAACGACAGTTAGTATCTGCACCTACAACCAGAACGACCGGTGCAAAGCGTGGAAGACGAGCGCCTTCAAGGTATTCACGGTTCAATGATTTAGATTCGTTATTTGATTCAGACGGTAATACATCCTAAAAATAGATAGTGTATTCATCTATTGGTACATTATATGTTTTTCGTTTATTTGTCCAGAGGCTGATACACGTGATACAATGGTTAATACAAATGCATTAACAAATATCGCTACTGTTACCAGCATCACACCCATTGCAAATAATATTACTAACGTAAGCAGTACGCATACATCAATGGGTTTATCGATTGAGTCCAAATCGGCAGTACGAACAATCGTGAAAAGTCATTTTAGTCAACACACGACAATACCAATACCAGCAGTACGAAGTCAAAAACGCCTTGATCGTAAATTTGGTTATATTGCTACTCACGCATCGGTTTTGCATGAATGCAATATCAATGAAAGTGAAAAGGCCAAAAAAACGGTCAAACGAAATCTCAAGAAAAAAATAAATATATCTGGAAAAGAAAATCAACAAACTGTTCTACAAGCAATAAGCATACCACCACCCACTCAATGTACTGTTAATCTTCTTTCTCATCTTCAGGCGTGAGCTTTACCCATGGTATCGAACTCATTTAGATACTGCTTTGACATGAACATACGTCCTGTCTTCTTTCAACTTTAATGTTGACATAATTTTTGAAATTAAGAGAG